AGTGCAGTGGTGGGTTCTCGGTTACAGCAACCTCTGCCTCCTGGGTTCAAGCTGTTCCCCTGCCTCAGCCTCCTGAGTAGCTGGGATTACAGGCAAATGCCACCACATCCGGCTAATGTTTGTATTTTTAGTAGAGACGGGGTTTCACCATGTCGGCCAGGCTGGTCTCAAACTCCTAACCTCAAGTGATCTGCTCGCCTCGGCCTTTCAAAGTGCTGGAATTACAGGCGTGAGCCACCTGTATCCGGCCAATTTTTAAATTTTTATAGAAATGGGGTCTCGGCCGGGCGCGGTGGCTCAAGCCTGTAATCCCAGCACTTTGGGAGGCCGAGACGGGCGGATCACGAGGTCAGGAGATCGAGACCATCCTGGCTAACACGGTGAAACCCCGTCTCTACTAAAAATACAAAAAACTAGCCGGGCGAGGTGGCAGGCGCCTGTAGTCCCAGCTACTCAGGAGGCTGAGGCAGGAGAATGGCGTAAACCCAGGAGGTGGAGGTTGCAGTGAGCTGAGAGATCTGGCCACCGCACTCCAGCCTGGGTGACAGAGCGAGCCCCCGTCCCCAAAAAAAAAAAAAGAAATGGGGTCTCACTGTGTTTCCCAAGCTGGTCTTGAACCCCTGGGCTCAAGCAATCCTCTGGCCTTGACCTCCCAAAGTGCCAGGATTATAGGTGTCTGCGCCTATAGGAGCCACTGCGCCTGTCTTCATCTTCTCTCTTGAACCTGCTCTCCTGTCATATTTTCTACCTTGGTCAACGACACTTCTGTTCTCTGCCTCCAACCACCGCTGCCTGCCACTGATCACCTAAGCTCAAAGGCCAGGGATCCTGGATTTAAACCTTCCCTTTCCCTCCCTTACCTACCAAATCTGATGCTTCTTCCCTATTCCTCAAATCCATCCACCTCTTCCTCTGCTCCTCAGTACCAAGAGATAAGTCCTTTCTTCATTGGCTCTATTGTTGGGGCCAAAATGGGAGCCCCTCTCCAGCTTCTCAGGAGGCTGAGGCAGGAGAAAGGATCACTTGTGACCAGGAGTTCGAGGCCAGCCTGGGAAACATGGAGAAACCCTGTCTCTACTAAAAATACAAAAATTAGCCAGGCATGGTGGCATATGCCTATGGTCCCAGCTATTAGGGAGGCTGAGGTAGGAGGATCGCTGAAGCTGGGGACGTCAAGGCTGCAGTGAGCTGTGATCATGCCACTGCTCTCCAGCCTCAGTGACAGAGACCTCAGACAGTAAGGTTCCAGACAAACTTGGGTTCCCTTGTGGGCAAGAACCACTCCCCCCAAAAATAAGAATATTCACATAGCATTGACTTTGTGCCAGCCTCTGTTTGAAACATCTTTGATACTAAACTCCCAACAGGGCTGGAAGGAGGGTATTATTATAATTCCCACTTAACATAGGAAACTGAAGCACTGAGAGGTCAAGTAGCTTGCCATAGGTCACACAGCTATCAAGTGGCTATCTGAGAGGTTAACTCAGGCAGTCGGGCTCTCTAGTATGTGCTCAGCTAATGGGTGTCTGCTCTGCATGCTTTATTTATTTATTTATTTATTTATTTATTTATTTATTTATGAGATAGAGTTTCACTGTTTTTGCCCAGGCTGGAGTGCAGTGGTGCGATCTCACTGCAACCTCTGCCTCCTGGGTTCAAGTGATTCTCTTGCCTCAGCCTCCCGAGTTGCTGGGATTACAGGTGTGCACCAACAGGCCCAGGTAATTTTGTATTTTTAGTAGAGACAGGGTTTCACCATGTTGACCAGGCTGGTCTCCAACCCCCAACCTCAGGTGATCCGCCCACCTTGACCTCCCAATTTTTTTTTTTTTGAGATGGAGTCTCACTCTGCCACCCAGGCTAGAGTGCAGAGGCGTGATCTCGGCTCACTGCAAGCTCCACCTCCCAGGTTCAAGGGATTCTCCTGCCTCAGCCTCCTGAGTAGCTGGAATTACAGGCAACTGCCTCCATGCCCGGCTAATTTTTATATTTTTAGTAGAGGTGAGGTTTCACCCTGTTGGGCAGGCGGGTCTCTAACTCCTGACCTCAAGTGATCCACCTGCCTTAGCCTCCCAAAGTGCTGGGATTACAGGCGTGAGCCACCGCACCTGGCCATATGTGCCCAACTTTCTAAAATGTTGTCTCAAATTTGTTTGAAACCATGCAGGCAAAATGAAGTAGGTCTATGAGCCACATTTGGTCTGTAAGCCACTAGTTTGCATCCTTCTGGGTTATACAATTTCCCTTCTTCACATAAGTCACGGGAGAATAGAGGGGGAGTATTTTTTTGCACAGAATCCTTTGGGTTCTCTCTGATCTCTTTATTTCTGAAGTTCGTGATCCCAGAAGTCCTGATTTCTTCTATAATCTGAAAAAAATTCCCAACTCCCACCATTATACCAACTCAGAGTATTTTTTTTCTTCTTTTGAGCTCTGCTGCATCCTAGTTCTGAGTTGACTTATCCTCACGGAGGGTTCTCAAGCTTTAGAAGCAGAAAGAGGCCAGGCACAGTGGCTCACGCCTATAATCCCAGCACTTTGGGAGACTGAGATGGGTGGATCACCTGAGATCAGGAGTTCAAGACCAGCCTGGCCAACATAGTGAGATCCCATCTCCTGAAAAATAAAAACAAAATTAGCACGGCATGGTGGTGCATGCCTGTAGTCCCAGCTACTTGGGAGGCTGAGGTAGGAGGATCACCTGAGCCCAGGAGGTGGAGGTTGCAGTGAGCTGAGATCACACCACTGCACTCCAGCCTGAGCACCAGAGTAAGACTCTGTCTCAAAAAAAAACAAAAAGAAAAGAAAAAGAAAAAAGGCCAAATTTGCCCCCTACCAACTCTTTCCTGGTTTTGAAGAAAGAATTTCCTTCCTAGGGTTTTAGGACCCACCTACCTCATTCTTTTACAAGGATCACTCACACTTGTGTGAGTATGAACAAGCCCCTTTTCAAAAAAAGTCCTCACTGCGGGCAAGGCTGGGGCAGTGCAGCTGCATGGGTGGGCCATGGGCACTGCCCTGCTGAGGGGAGGGACTGGGATCCCAGACCCCTTCTACCTGCTTTATCTCTGAGACCAGGAACCAAGGGACCATGTCCTACAGTTGTTGAGCAGGGATGCTGCCCCTAGACTCCCTTGTCTAACACTCTCCCCTCTCCTGTGTTCAGAGGTTTGGGCTCTGGGTAGCAAAACTGAAGACAGCTCATCTTTAGAGATCATCGGCCGGGCACAGTGGCTCACGCCTGTAATCCCAGCACTTCGGGAGGCCAAGACAGGCAGATCACGAGGTCAGGAGATCGAGACCATTCTGGCTAACAAGGTGAAACCCCGTCTCCACTAAAAATACAAAAAATTAGCTGGGCATGGTGGCGGGCGCCTGTAGCCCCAGCTACTCGGGAGGCTGAGGCAGAAGAATGGCGTGAACGCTGGAGGTGGAGCTTGCAGTGGAGCCGAGATCGGGCCACTGCACTCCAGCTGGGGGACTAAAGCAAGATCTCTCCGCTCAAAAAAAAAATAAATAAGAATCATCAGCCAGCAGACAAGATGCTGAAAACTCCTGACCCCCACCCAGGGCACCTTTCCCTGTTTACTCTTCCTGGAATCCTTCTTCCAGAGCATCCATCCCATGGCTGGCTCAACAATGTCAGCCTTCTCGGAGAGGTCTTCCCTTGATCAAAATTACCTCCCCTGCGATCTTCACCTCCACATAATTTCATCACTGCCTTTTTTTTTTTTTTTTTTTTTTGAGACAGGGTCTCACTCCTTGCCCAGGCTGGAGTGCAGTGTCATGATCAGGGCTCACTGCAGCCTCGACCTCTGTCCATCAGTCGATCCTCCCCACCTCAGCCGCCTGATAGCTGGGACCACCAGGTGCGCGCCACCACGCCCAGCTAATTTTTATTTTTTATTCCGTGTAGACACAGGTGAGGTGGCGGGGTCCTTGCTATGTTACCAGGCTGGGCTCGAACTCCTGGCCTCAAGCGATCCTCCCCACCATGGCTTCCCAAATCGCTGAAATTATAGGTGTGAGCCACACGCCGGCTCATTCGCTTGCTTTATTTTATGAATTTGCGTTTACCTCTCTACAAAAAGCGAGTGTCATCCGTTTTCTCCATCAGAGTGGTGTCTCCTTCCTCTGGTTCGGAATTCCCTCATCAGCGCAGATCCCTGCCTTGCAAAAAGCTGGCACCGCGCGCTCTCGGTCCCGCTGCGCTGGCGCGCCCTGCTTCACTGGTGCCATGAGGCACTACTGCCTGTACGCGGCGAACATAAAACACATGACACGCATTTGGACCTGGCATGCTTTAATCCGGAGGGCCTGGAGCCAAAGGGCGGCACGCCGAGGGTGTGGTCTGGTGGGCGTGAGCTTGCGGGCGCGAGTCTATCTGGTCGGGCGGGACCCAAGGGGAAGCAGCCAGTAGGGAAGTTGGGCGAGTTCACAGAATCAGAGGGCGCGTGGTGTGTTGCGCGGTGGGCGGGGACTCTGTGGGGAGGCGGTGGGCGGAGTTCATGCCGGCCACACCCATTGGTCTCCAAGTCGGTGAGGTTGCCCGCAGTTTCTGCTCCTCCTCGAAAGCCTTGGAAAGTGAGTTTGAAGTTGCCGGCTCCAAAAACCCATGGGCGGGAAAGACGAGGAGATGACGCCAGGGACCCAGAAAACGAGTGTTACTTTAGCTGCTTCCCCTTTGCCGCCTGCCGGGCAAGTTCCGGGGGGGGGACTACCTGGTGGTTGTGGCGCTGGATGCACTCCAGGAAGAGCGGTGCGGCCGGGTCCTTGCAACGGTTTGGTGAAGATCGTGCAGCAGGTAGCCTTTTTCTCGTCGTAGTCACCGGATTTTCAGCTCCTAGCGCAGGGGCAGACAGGGGTCTCTGTGCTAGTGTGAGGGCTGGGCCGCGCTACTGTCTGGCACGTGAATCCTTGGAGAATTCCTCAGGGGCCTTCGCCCACCCCAAAGTCTGGAAATGACCTCTTTTTTCTGGCCAGTTCCAGCCACTCAAATATATCCCCAAACTGTCCTATTATCCATTCCCACTACATGTTCCTAACGGCCCATTCAAGCTGCTGCCTGCTATCTCATCGATTGGTATCCTTACAATCCATCCTCCCGCAGACATATCAGGACCCACCCACTCCTTTGTTTGTTTTCACGACGGCAGCCTTTCTCTGCTTACCAGGAGCTGGAGTGCGTGGGCGCCAATCTCAGCTCACTGAACTTCCACCTTCCTGCGTCAAGCGATTCTCCTGTCTCAGCCTCCCGAGTTAGCTGCGACTACGGCGCAGGCTCATGCGCCCGGCTAATTTTTGATTATCTTTTGCTAAGAGCGGGGTTTTCACCATTTTGAGTCACGGTTTGGTCTCCACTCCTACCTCAGGGTGATCATCCAGCCCTAGCGCTCTGTCCCAAAGTGTTGGGGACTACAGGCCGTGCAGCCACCATTGACGGCTGAGGGCGTTCTTTTAAAAAATCGGCATTCATGTCATCTCCCCTTTGTTCAAAATCCTTCCAGTGCGAAATCGGAACCCTCATGTAACGCTCGGTGGGACTGTAAAATGGGTGGCAGACCACTTTGGAAACAGCTCTTGGTGACTTCTCAGAAAGTTAAAATTACAGTGTTGCTTCTTTAAAATACAGATAAAAAAAAAAAAAAAGGGTGGCTGGGCATGGTGGCTCATGCCTGTAATCACAGCACTTTGGGAGGCTGAGGCAAGTGGATCACCTGAGCTCAGTTTGAGACCAGTCTGGCCAACATGGGGAAACCCAGTCTCTACAAAAAAAAAAACACAAAAATTAGCCTGGGCAAGGTGGCTCACGCCTGTAATCCCAGCACTCTGGGAGGCTGAGGCGAGTGAATCACCCGAAGTCAGGAGTTCGAGACCAGCCTGGTCAACATGATGAAACCCTGTCTCTACTAAAAATACAAAAAAAAAATTAGCTGGGCATGGTGGCACATGTCTGTGATCTCAGCTACTTAGGAGGTTGAGGCAGGAGAATCGCTTGAACCCGGGAGGTGGAGGTTGCAGTGAGCCAAGATCAGCCACTGCACTCCAGCCTGGGAAACAGAGCAAGACTCTGTCTCAAAAAAAAAAAAAAAAAAAAAAAAAATTAGCTGGGCGTGGTGGTGAGCGCCTATAATCCCAGCTACTAGGGAGGCTGAGGCAGGAGAATTGCTTGAACCCAGGAGGCTGGAGTTTGCAGTGAGCCAAGATTGCACCACTGCACCCCAGCCTGGGAAACAAAGCAAGACTCTCTCTAAACAAACAAAAAGGAACAAGGAATTACCATGTGACCTAGCTACTCCTAGGTATATACCAAAGTGCATTGAAAACATGTCCATACAGAGCCTTGTTCACAGATGTTCACAGTAGCATTATGTATAACACCCCAAAAGTGGAAACAACCCAAATATCTATCGACGAGGAATACATAAACAATGTGTGGTCTATCTATACAATGGGAGATTTTTCAGCCACAAAAAGGAACGAAGCACTGACACACACCCCAATGCAGATGAACCTTGAACACATGCTAAGGGAAAGAAGCTGTTGACAACAGGCCTATTTTGTGATTCCTTTTTTTTTTTTTTTTTCCAAGACGGAATTTCGCTCTGTCGCCCAGGCTGCAGTGCAATGGCGTGATCTTGGCTCACTGCAACCTCTCCCTCCCTGGGTTCAAGCAATTCTCCTACCTAAAGCTCCCCAGTAGCTGGGATTACAGGTGCCTGCTACCACTCCCGGCTAATTTTTGTATTTTTAGTAGAGACAGAGTTTCACCGTGTTGGCCAGGCTGGTCTTGAACTCCTGACCTCATGATCTGCCCGCCTCGGCCTCCCAAAGTGCTGGGATTACAGGCGTGAGCCATCGTGCCCAACCTTTGTGATTCCTTTTAATGAAATGTCCAGAATAGGCAAATCTATAGAGACTGAAGGTAGATTAATGATGCCTAGGGCCAGGGTGGGAGGGGGGAAGGGAACAGAAGGGTTGGGAGGTGCTGACTGAGAGGCTCAAGATTTCTTCTGGGGTGACAAAAATGTTCTAAAATTGATTTTTTGCCCAGGCTGGAATGCAGTAGCCTGATCATGGCTCACTGCAGCTTTGACCTCCTGGCCTCAAGTGATTCTTTCACCCCAGCCTCCTGAGTAGCTGGGACTACAGGCACGAACCACCATGCCTAACTAATTTTTTAAAACTGTTTTTTTGTAGAGACAGGGTCTCCCTATGTTGCTCAGGCTGGTCTTAAACTCCTAGCCTCAAGCAATCTTCTCACCTCAACCTCTGAAAATGCTAGGATTATAGATGTGAGCCACTGTGTCTGGCCTAACTGTTTTTGTTTTTCTTTTAGACAGGGTATCGCCCAGGCTGGAGTGCAATGGCCTGATCATGGCTCACTGTAGCCTTTACCTCCTAGGTTGAAGTGATTCTCCCACTTCAGCCTCCCCTGTAGCTGGGACCACAGACACAGATCACCACGCCCAGCTAATTTTTTTTTTCTTTTTGTAGACACCCAGGTTTCGCCATATTGACCAGGCTGGTCTCAAACTCCTGACCTCAAGTGATCCACCTGCCTTGGCCTCCCAAAGTGCTGGGATTACAGGCATGAATGACCACACTCAGTCCTACAATGGATCTTTTGTGGTGTTTTTTGTTTTTTTTGCGATGAAGTCTCGCTCTGTCGCCCAGACTGTAGTGCACTGGCATGATCTCAGCTCACTGCAACCTCCACCTCCTGAGTTCAAGCGATTCTCCTGCCTCAGCCTCCTGAGTAGCTAGGATTACAGGTGCGTGCCACCATGCCTGGCTAATTTTTGTATTTTTAGTAGAGACAGGGTTTCACCATGTTGGCCAGGCTGGTCTTGAACTCCTGACCTCGTGATCCGCCCGCCTCGTCCTCCCAAAGTACTGGGATTATAAGCATGAACCGCCACACCCAGTCCTAAAATGGATTTTGATGATAGTTGCACAACATAGCAAATAGCTAAAAATCACAGAATTGTACACCTTAAAAATATGACATGTTATGTGACGTATGTCAATAACACTACTAAAACCAAACCAAAAAACCCTCCAGTGGTTTCTGGCCACAAAAGAACAAAATCCAGACTCCTGAATAACAGCTCACATGAGGAACTTGCTCTTGCGTACCTGTCTGACCTAAGTCACCACTCAAAACTACTCATCCACTCTAGCCTATTCTTTCTGTTCCTCAGACGCTCGGGGCTTGCTCCTCCCTCGGCCCTTGCTGATCCCTTGGCCAGGAATGAATGCCCTTCTTCCCGCTGTTTACGTGGTCAGCTCCCGCTCATGATCTAGACTTCACTCAAATGTCACCTTCTGAGAGAGGCCCTCCCTGACCACTCTCTGTAAAGTAGCCCCAGGCCGTCTGTTTGAACTTCCTGCACTGACTATCTCTGACAGTGCTTTTATTGTTTATTTGTTTGTCATCTGTCTCCTCCTTCCACATACGCCCCAGAATAAATGTCCCTTGCCCACAGGGACTTGGTCTGGGCTCCCCTCCGGGCTGAGACGATATTTCTGAAAAGATGGAACACAGGAGTTGTACTCCCCATAAGGCTGCGGATCCTGCCTGGGTCTCACCTCCAGGACATCAATGTTCTCCTTCACCTTGATCTTGGCCGTCTTCAGCTTCTCCCGCAGTTGTTTGTAGTACGTGGAGGGAACAGATAAGAACTCCATGCCTCTCTCTCTCAAGTGGCGAATCTGTTTCAGAACAAAGTTGAGGTCAGCCTTCGGCCTCCAAGTTCAACTCCCTTAGCCAGGTGGAGGTGCTGGGTCATCAGGAGGCAAGGTCCCTATCCTAGCTCCCCTCAACTGCCAGGATGCCGTGTGGCCTCTTCCCCTTTCTTCTGTCATGGGCCCCGTTAGAACAACCGCTAGATTTATAGAACACTCACCATGTGCCTGCCTAGAGCACTTTTTTTTTTTTTTTTTTGAGATGGAGTCTCTGTTGCCCAGGCTGGAGTGCAGTGGCACGATCGATCGTAGCTCACTGGAACCTCTGCCTCCTGAGTTCAAGCGATTCTCCTGCCCTTGCCTCCCGAGTAGCTGGGATTACAGGTGCCCACCATCACTCTCAGCTATGTATTTTTAGTAGAGATGGGGTTTCATCACGTTGGCCATGTGTGTCTCGAATTCCTGACCTCACGTGATCCACCCACCTCGGCCTCCCAAAGTGGTGGGATTACAGGTGTGAGCCACTGCGCCCAGCCTGAGCACTTTCTACATATTCCCTCATTATGTCCATGCAGCAATCTTTTGAGGCAGCTGGAGGACTATTCTCTCATTTCATAGCTGGGGAAACTGAGGCATCAAAAGATTAAGGATCTATTAGGCCAGGTGCGGTGGCTCATGCCTGTAAGCCCAGCATTTTCGGAAGCCAAGGCGGGCAGTTTACTTGAGGTCAGGAGTTGGAGACCAGCCTGACCAACATGGTAAAACCCTGTCTCTACTAAAAATACAAAAAAGAAGGCCGGACGTGCTGGCTCACGCCTGTAATCCCAGCACTTTGGGAGGCCGAGATGGGCAGATCATGAGGTTAGGAGATCGAGACCATTGGGCTAACACAGTGAAACCCCATCTCTACTAAAAATACAAAAAAAAAATTAGTCCAGCATGGTGGTGGGCGACTGTAGTCCCAGCTACTCAGGAGGCTGAGGCAGGAGAATGGCGTGAACCCAGGAGGCAGAGCTTGTGGTGAGCCGAGATCACGCCACTGCACTCCAGCCTGGGTGACAGAGTGAGACTCCGTCTCAAAAAATAAATAAATAAATAAATAAAATTAAAAATACAAATACAAATACAAATACAAAAAAAAGTTATCCAGGAGTGGTGTCATGCACCTGTAGTCCCAGCTACTCAGGAGGCTGAGGGAGAAGAATTGCTTGAACCCAGAAGGTGGAGCTTGCAGTGAGCCAAAATCGCGCCACTGCACTCCAGCCTGGAAGACAGAGCAAGACTCCATCTCAAAAAAAAAAAAAAAAAAGCAATATATAATAACCTGTATGGTGTTGTGGTAATATATATGTGTGTGTGTGTGGTATATATTATGTGTGTGTGGTATTCGTGTATATATAATGTGTGTGTGTGTATATATATGTATGTGTGTGTGTATATATATGTATATATACTTGAGAGACAGGATCTTGTTCTGTCACCCAGGCTGGAGTGCAGTGGCATGATCGTAGCTCACTGCAACCTCAACCTCCCCAGGCTCAGGTGATCCTCCTACTTCAGCCTTCTGAATAACTAGAACCACAGGTGTGTACCACCACACCTGGCTAATTTTTTGATTTTTTTGTAAAGATGAGGTCTTACTGTGTTGCCCAGGTTGGTCTCGAACTTCTGAGCTCAAGCAGTCCTCCCACCTCGGCCTCCCAAAGTGCCTGACCCCCCAATTTAAATGTGCTATGCCCTTCACCCTTGCTGTCCCAATTCCCTGCTTTACTTTCTTCCTGGGTGCTCTCTACCATCTAGCATTTATATTTTACTTATTTTGTTTATTGCTCTACAAGGGCAGAAACTGTTATTCGCGGATGTATCCTAAGTACCTAAGATAGTGCCTGGTATATAGTAGATGCTCAATAAACATCTGTTGAGTGAATGAACGAATGAAGTTGCTAAGGTCATGCAGTGAACTCGGTTGGCACAGTCCAGGCTCTTGTCCACTCTGACATAGTGTCACTTAAGGAAGGGGTAGGACCCAGCCTCCCCATGCTCCATCTGTCTGGATCTACAGATGCAGAACATTTAATCTGGCTGAAAGGACAAAATCAATCTTGTAGCCTAATTTCCTCCTTTTTTTTTTTTTGAGAAGGAGTCTCTCTGAGTTGCCTAGCTGGAGTGCAATGGTACGATCTTGGCTCACTGCAACCTCCACCTCCTGGGTTCAAGTGATTTTCCCGCCTCAGCCTCCCGAGTAGCTGGGATTACAGGCATGCACCACCACAACCAGCTAATTCTTGTATTTTTAGTAGAGATGCAGTTTCACCCCGTTGGCCAGGCTGGTCTTAAACTCCTGACCTCAAGTAATCTGCCTGCCTTGGCTACCCAAAGTGCTGGGATTACAGGCATGAGCCACCATGCCCAACCCCCTAACTTCCTCTTTAAAAAAAAAAAATTCTTGGCCGGGCGCGGTGGCTCAAGCCTGTAATCCCAGCACTTTGGGAGGCCGAGACGGGCGGATCACGAGGTCATGGCTAACACGGTGAACCCCCGTCTCTATTAAGAAATACAAAAAACTAGCCGGGCGAGGTGGCGGGCGCCTGTAGTCCCAGCTACTTGGGAGGCTGAGGCAGGAGAATGGCGTGAACCCGGGAGGCGGAGCTTGCAGTGAGCTGAGATCCGGCCACTGCACTCCAGCCTGGGCGACAGAGCGAGACTCCATCTCAAAAAAAAATAAAAAAATAAAAAAATAAAAAATAAAAATTCTTTTTTTAGGGTTGGGGGAAGATAGGGCCTCACTCTCTGTCACCTAGGCTGCAGTAAAGTGACTCGATCATAGCTCTCTGCAGCTTTGAAATCCTTGGCTAAATGGATCCTCCTGCTTCAGCCTCCCAAGTAGCTAGGACTACAGACATGAGCCACCAAGCCTGGTTAATTTTGTTTACTTTTTGCGGAGACAGGGTCCCATTATTTTGCCAGGCTGACCTCTAACTTGTGGGCTCAAACAATCCTTCTGCTTTGGCCTCCTGTGTAGTTGGGACTACAGGCATGAGCCACTGTGCCCAGTCCTAATTTTCTTTATTTATTATTATTTTTCTTTCTGAAGTGGAGTTTCACTCTTGTCACCCAGGCTGGGGTGCAGTGGTGCAACCTTGGCTCACTGCAACCTCTACCTCCCAAGTTCAAGCGATTCTCCTGCCTCAGCCTCCCGAGAAGCTGAGATTACAGGCGCCTGCCACCACGCCCACATAATTTTTATATTTTTAGTAGAGACGGGGTTTCACCATGTTGGCCAGGCTGATCTCAAACTCCTGACCTCAGGTGATCCCCCTGCCTTGGCCTCCCAAAGTGCTGGGATTACAGGCATGAGCCACTGTGCCCAGCCCTGATTTCCTCATTTTTAAGGTAAGGCAACTAAAGTCCATAGACAGCACTGAATCTCCCAGAGACACAGAGCAAGCCACTGGCAGAACTGGGACCATCACCCAGGCTTCCTGATACCCTGACACCTGCCACTTCCAAAGCCCAGGGGTTCTGTGGAGACTGAACTCTGGGGTGGGTGGGGCTATGCCTGCCCATGAGTTGCAGGAAGCAGTGAGGGTGTCTGTCAGTCTCCCAGCCCAGAGAAGTGGGCCCAGGACTGCCGCCACTCCTCTCTTGATTTTGCAGAGACCGTCCCTGGCTCTGAATGAGACAGGAATTCGGACGGGGAAGGGGGTTCTAACCGCTGTGATGATGTCTTGGGTGTTGAGGGCGATGTGCTGGACCCCAGCGCCCCCGTTGTAGTCCACATATTCCTGGGGGAGGGAAACAAGGAGACCACTGTCATTTGCCCCGTCACCCACATCCCTGACCCTGCAAGAGCCCCCAGACCTCTTCCCTGCTCCCCTTTCCCCCAGCCAGGGGCAGCCTCACCTGGATCTGGGACTTCTTCTTGCCAGGCGCTGGCTCATTGATGGGCATCTTGATGGACTCTTCATAGTTGGCCACCACAATGGATCGCAGAGAGCTATATTCTGTGTGCACCTGCGTGTCATCCACAGACCAGAAGCGGTGGAACTGCAGGTTTTTCAGGTACCTGTAGGGTGGGCGGTGGGACACATCTGCTCTGAGCGCCTCCAGGGACGGCCTCCATCACCCCGTTTCCACCTTCCAGAATTTGTCCCTGAGCAGGCTCCAGACAGGAGATGCCATTGCCACCATACCCATCAGAGATTTAGATCTTTCTGTTGTTGTTGTTGCTCGAGACAAAGTCTCACTCTGTTGCCCAGGCTGGAGTGCAGTGGTGTAATCTCGGCTCACTACAGCCTCAACCTCCAGGCTCAATTCCTCCTCCCACCTCAGCTTCCCAAGTAGCTGGGACTACAGGCGTGTGCCACCACACCTGGATAATTTTGGGGGTTTTTTTTGTTTTTTTGTTTTTTTGTTTTTGAGACGGAGTCTCACTCTGTCGCCCAGGCTGGGGTGCAGTGGCCGGATCTCAGCTCACTGCAAGCTCCGCCTCCCGGGTTCACGCCATTCTCCTGCCTCAGCCTCCCGAGTAGCTGGGACTACAGGCGCCCGCCGCCTCGCCCGGCTAATTTTTTGTATTTTTTAGTAGAGACGGAGTTTCACCATGTTAGCCAGGATGGTCTCGATCTCCTGACCTCGTGATCCGCCCGTCTCGGCCTCCCAAAGTGCTGGGATTACAGGCTTGAGCCACCGCGCCCGGCCAATTTTTGGGTATTTTTATTTTTTGTTTTTTGAGACAGAGTTTCGCTCTTGTCACCCAGGCTGGAATGCAGTGATGCAATCTTGGCTCACTGCAACTGCCACCTCCTGGTTCCAAGCGATTCTCCTGCCTCAGCCTCCCAAGTAGCTGGGATTACAGGCATGCACCACCATGCCCAACTAATTCTTTGTATTTAGTAGAGACAGGGTTTCACTGTGTTGGTCAGGCTGCTCTCGAACTCCTAACCTCAGGTGATCCACCTGCCTCAGCCTCGCAAAGTGCGGGGATTACAGGCATGAGCCACTGTGCCCAGCCATATTTTTTGTAGAGATGGGGTCTCACTATGTTGCCCAGGTTAGTGTTGAACTCCTGGGTTCAAGCCATCCACCTGCCTAGGCCTCCAAAGTGCTATGATTCCAAATATGGGCCACCACGCCCAGCCTAGATTTGTGCCTTTATGATGACACTTTTCCTTCAAGTGGAAGTGTCTTGGAATGAAATACATACAGGATGGCAAGGCTCCCACAGATGGAAGTAAAGTGTTTTGAATTAGCTTGGATGTGGTGGTGTTGGCCTGTAGTCCCAGCTACTTGGGAAGCTCAGACAACGGAGAATTGCTTCGAACCAGGGAGGTTGAGGTTTGCACCGTGAGCTGGATTACACCACTGCACTCCAGCCTGGGTGAGAGAGCGAGCACTTATCTAAAAAAGTAATAATACTAATAATAAAAAATAAAATAAAATGAAGTGGAAAATACAGCACAAAATGATGGAAGTTAGCCTGAGGCCCACTGGATGCAATTTATTCACTATAAAAGCCACTGTCAACTGGAGACCAGTGGACTTGAGGCCCAAAGCGAACCCACAGGCCCCGCCCTGAGGAACCCTTGGGGGCGATCACAGTCCTATGGAAGGCTTGTGCAGGAAGGCTGCCACAACCGCAAGAGGAAAAAGCAAGGGCCTTTTTTCTCTTTTTTTTTTTTTTGAGACGGAGTCTCGCTGTGGTCCGCCCAGGCTGGGTGCAGTCGGCGATCTCAGCCTCACTGCAAG